TCCAGGGCTGCTCCACCAGTGCATCCAATGGCACACCATGATTCTGTGCCTGTTGTGGAGAACCGAGCCAGGATCACATGGCACACTTGTACCGGGAGGTACCAGAGCGTATCCCCTGTATGTCCCAGAGCCATCTTCCTCTGATCAGACCCTCGCAGCGCTCCACGGTGGTGCGCGTCTTTGCTTGGACTCGCATGAACCAAATGCTGTTGCACTGATTGTAGGTGCATTTAACAATCCAGTCCAGTACAACTTGTTATCCCTGTTTTATTAAAGGCGATTTAATTAACCATTCTACATCTTGGTTTTGTATGTAACATTCCTCTTCCTCTTACAAGCTCAACTATTGGGTTGTAACATATTTTGGGGGCTCGTCCGGGATACTTAAACGTTCCCGACATTAAGTGGCCAAATGGTAAGTGAAGGGTAATTGTATTCGGACATTGTGAAAATGGCAACCGCCTTCAATTTGTGCTTGATCCCTCTATCGAGGCACTTGAGCTTTGTGAAAAGTAAGATTTATTTGAGATTGCTGATCATTTTGCACTCCTCCTCGCTCCTTCCCCTCCCGGCTCAGTTGGTGGTGCTCTGCGCACTTTGCGGCTGGCATGCATCAAAACGGAGGCCGAGCAAAAGGAGAGAAAGGGCAGGCTCCTTTTGTGGCACCGGCACCTGCCACAGCTGATCAGTGGCATGTACACAACAAGTGGCGTTTAAAATGGCATGTGGGGAATAAATGGCGTGTAAAGCGGCATGTGGGCAATAAATGGCGTGTAAAGCGGCATGTGGGCAATAAATGCCGTTTACAACGGCATGTGGGGAATAAATGGCGTGTAAAGCGGGATGTGGACAACAAATGGTGTTTAAAACGGCATGTGGACAACAAGTGGCGTGTAAAGCGGCATGTGGACAACAAGTGGCGTTTAAAATGGCATGTGGACAACAAGTGGCGTGTAAAGCGGCATGTGGACAACAAGTGGCGTTTAAAACGGCATGTGGGGAACAAATGCCGTTTAAAACGGCATGTGGGCAATAAATGGCGTTTAAAACGGCATGTGGACAATAAATGGCATTTAAAACGGAATGTGGACAATAAATGGCGTTTAATACGGCATGTGGGCAATAAATGGCGTTTAAAACGGCATGTGGGGAATAAATAGCGTGTAAAACAAATACAGTTGAAAGCAGCCTGTACAAAAGACAACAAGCAGCAGTATTAGAGATAGTGGTCCAGTGGCTCAGATGGAAAAGCACAGGTCTACGGTGTTGATGGTTGCTAGTTCAAATCCCCAGTGACTACCAATGACATTTGCCGATGTTGGGTCCTTGGGCATAACACTTCATGGAGAATGTCAGAAGTGCCATAAGTTGTTTGAAAAATGTAGTTTCAGTTATAATAAATTAAATTTAAAATTTGTGGCGCACTTGGTTTATAACTGTCTCTCATGCGAAAGATACCTGGTTCAATTCCAGGTCTGGTCTTTATTTTTTTGTTTTCAGATTAAATACAAATTGAATATGTATGAATATATATTTCATACATATGGTTATGTGTTGTTCCAATAGTAATCTTGCATTAGGATTAATATTGCATCATCGTTAGGGTAAAACTAAATGATGTGTAAAACACGCAAGACACAATTTTACTTAAAATCACCTGGTGAGTGGTATAGTTGGTGTGTGTCCGCCAATCATGCAAGAGTTCGCAGATTCAAATCCAGCCAAGATCAAAAACTTTTTGATGACGGTTATTTCTTTATACATATATATATCTATAAATATCTATATATATCTTTATATATATATACAGTTTTTATATAATTGCCATTAAAAAAAAAAAACGGTACTTTTATTCGATCTGCCAATCTCACGCACTATAGACGAATGTTTAATGACTGCGCCACTTATTTTGTGTTTTGGCAAAGAAAAAAACGAAAGATTCTATTGTTGTTTTAGGACATTTCATCAAGAATGGAGCCAACCAAAGATGGTGAAGAGTGATGGATTGAAAAAAAACAAGCAGAAAGTTGTGTAATTGGAACATGAGGTTTCATCTCTATATTGTTAAAATCTTCATTTCTGTTCTTGGACCGTTTAAGCTGTGTCTTATACTTTGCATTCTTTTATAAAAAAATATATGTAATTATGCTCTTTCTTATTGTTCCTGAAGAAGTAAGTAAGTAAGTAAGTAATCTTTATTTATATACCGCCTTTTCACTGCAAATCTGAGTCTCAAAGCGGTTTACAATTGTTAATTTTGGGCATTTGTCTCTCACTCCACACAGAGATGGGAGCGGGGTCACCAGTACAGGAGGCACATGCCAGAACTATTGGACATATTTTTAGTGGTAGGGGAAACCGGAGTACCCGGAGGAAACCTACGCAGACACGGGGAGAACATGCAAACTCCACTCAGAAAGGCCCTGGTCCGACCGGGATTCGAACCCAGGACCTTCTTGCTGAGAGGCGAGAGTGCTATCCACTCAGCCACCGTGCCGCCCAGAAGAAGATGACATAGTCTGGGATCGCGTCTTAAATTCAGACAGAAGACATGTTTTATTGTCGATGGTAGAGACAGCACGAACAAAGCACACGATCACAGATACAATAGAATGCAAGTGTATTATACAGAGCGGAGGCATGGAGACCTCCAATCAGCAGCTGCCACGGTGTGCTTGTAGCTTGGCCTTCAGATAGACAAAACAAGGGAAAAGTACTGGCTTCTGCACATTGATAGAATGATGAGTTTAACTTTAACAAAAGTTGCTTCAAAGTGTTATGAAATCTCATATTCCCCCCTCTCCTCACTTTATTTTTGATTTGTTTTTTGTTTGTTTTATTTTTTCCCAGGATAGAGGATAAAATCCACTGATATTGATTTGATGATTATGAGTTTAATGCATACATTTTCTTTGTTTTTAATAATTTTGTAAAGTTTTTTTTTTTTTTTAGATTTTTTTTTTCTTTTTCCACTTTATTGATTGATCAAATTGAATGATCACATGTGATTATGTGATCAAAGGGGAGGGTATTAGTATTAGATAGCAATATGGCCTACGTGCAGGACTGTACAAGGACTCTACAAGGACTCCATGTTATGACTATGAAGTGACTGTCTCTTTGTGACACGTATGTCTTTCGATGTGTGACGTGACAATGACTATATAAACTGTGTACTGCCTTTATTCTGTCTGAGAGAAAGAAACAGAGTAAACCAGTGGAACTTGAAAGAAACTTAAATAAACTTCCAGAGTTTGGCACACCACGATCCGTCTCTGTCTGGTTCATCCCTGACATTCCATGTTTCTGATGTGGTTTTATTAAAGAAGAGAGAGAAATAAAATGATTTTTTCTTTTGTTTTTATTTATATATATATATATATATATATATATATATATATATATATATATATATATATATATATATATATGTCATACATATTAAATTTGTATTTAATCTGACAAAGAAAAAATAATGACCTGTCCTGGATTTGAACCAGGTATCTTCCGCATGAGAGGCAGTTATAAACCAAGTGCGCCACTGGATGACGCAGCTCATGTGGAATTTAAACTATATATAATACATGAAATTAAGTCTTTCTACAAATTTATGCAATAACATATATTATTATTACTCAAACAATATTTTTCAAACAATTTATGGCACTGACATTCTTCATGAAGTGTTAGGTCCAAGGACCCAACATCAGCAAATGTCATTGGTAGTCACTGGGGATTTGAACTAGCAACCATCAACACCGTAGACCTGTGCTTTTCCATCTGAGCCACTGGACCACTAGCTCCACTAACTGCTGCTTGTTGTCTTTTGTACAGGCTGCTTTCAACTGTGTTTGTTGCCCACATGCCGCTCTACACGCCATTTATTCCCCACATGCCGTTGTAAACGCCATTTATTGCCCACATGCCGCTTTACACGGCATTTATTCCCCACATGCCGTTGTAAACGCCATTTATTGCCCACATGCCGCTTGACACGCCATTTATTCCCCACATGCCGTTTTAAACGCCACTTGTTGTCCACATGCCGCTTTACACGCCATTTATTCCCCACATGCCGTTGTAAACGGCATTTATTGCCCACATGCAGCTTTACATGCCATTTATTCCCCACATGCCGTTGTAAACGCCATTTATTGCCCACATGCCGCTTTACACGCCATTTATTCCCCACATGCCGTTGTAAACGCCATTTATTGCCCACATGCCGCTTTGCACGCCATTTATTCCCCACATGCCGTTTTAAACGCCACTTGTTGTCCACATGCCGCTTTACACGCCACTTGTTGTCCACATGCCGTTTTAAACGCCACTTGTTGTCCACATGCCGCTTTACACGCCATTTATTCCCCACATGCCGTTTTAAACGCCACTTGTTGTCCACATGCCGTTTTAAACACCATTTGTTGTCCACATGCCGCTTTACACGCCATTTATTCCCCACATGCCGTTGTAAACGGCATTTATTGCCCACATGCCACTTTACATGCCATTTATTCCCCACATGCTGTTGTAAACGCCATTTATTGCCCACATGCCGCTTTACACGCCATTTATTCCCCACATGCCGTTGTAAACGCCATTTATTGCCCACATGCCGCTTTACACGCCATTTATTCCCCACATGCCGTTGTAAACGGCATTTATTCCCCACATGCCGTTGTAAACGGCATTTATTGCCCACATGCCGCTTTACATGCCATTTATTCCCCACATGCCGTTGTAAACGCCATTTATTGCCCACATGCCGCTTTACACGCCATTTATTCCCCAAATGCCGTTGTAAACGCCATTTATTGCCCACATGCCGCTTTACACGCCATTTATTCCCCACATGCCGTTTTAAACGCCACTTGTTGTCCACATGCCGTTTTAAACGCCATTTGTTGTGTACATGCCACTAATCAGCTGTGGCAGGGGCCGGTGCCACAAAAGGAGCCTGCCCTTACTGTAAAAGGATCGGGACCAAGCTCAAACTGCATATGCGGAGGCTTGAGATCGAGGCTGACAAAGCTGTGCAACTCATTCGCCTTGAGCTGGAATGCAAAGGCTGCCCCCCCAGTCCTACTCAATGCCCTGGCTTCGCTGCACCGGCCACAGCCCTCTCCCCAGCTGTTCATGACTCCCTTGATGTGAGAAAAATGATTCAAATTGTGCCTACATTTAGAGTGAGGTAAATTTGTATTTTGCTGCTTTTGAGAGAACTGGGATGGCTTTAAATTGGCCTCGTGAAGTTTGGCCCATCCTTGTGCAATGTAAAGTGTACGCTAAAGCACAGGAGATAATTGCTGCGTTGCCTCTTGCTGAGAGTCGGCATTATGATGCAGTCAAGAGGGGTCTTACGCGCCTATGAATTAGATCCTGACATTTAGAAATCTCAGTAAAGCTACAAGTCATACGTATGATGAGTTTGCATGGGAAAAAGGAAATCTGTTTGATAAATGGTGTGCCTCTGCATAGGCCCAAGATTTGAATTTTTTGCGTGAGTTAATTTTGTTAGAGGATTTTAAGAACAACCTACGTGCATGTGGTTGTGTATTTGAATGAGCAAAAGGTTACTACCATTGCTGAGGCTTTGTGTTTGAGTTTGTATTGACTCATAAGACCTTTTATGCATTTTCTGTTAATGAGACACGTGTGTCTGTGCAGCCCGATCGTCCACGCTCCTATGGAAACTCTACAAGGGACAAAGTCTGCGTCTACTGTCGCGAGCCCAGACCCTTAATCACAGACTGCCCTACTCTCAAACAAAAGGAAGAGTCTTCAGCTCTGTAATGGAGCAGAGTCCATTACTAGGTGTTCACTGGTGAGGGGAATTAGACAGACTCAAATGTTTTAAACAGTTTATTAAAGATTGATTTTTAATGCAAAGGTGCAGACCTGTAAAAGGAAATTGTAAAAGTAAGTGAAGGGAATCAAGTAAAGGTACAACATGTAATTATACTGACCTTTTGCTTTCTTGTTTGTCTGCCCTCTTTAGGTGTTCCGGCCAAAAGAGTCCCAAGGCAGCCGGAGCACCTAAAGATGGTTCTGGGTGCACCCACTCTGCAAAGAGAGGAGGGGTGTCCTAGATTTTATCTTTCAAATTTAGTAACGTTTTAAAATGAATATTTCACTGCTAAATTTAATAAAGAGATATATTTTTGTAAATTATGGGGTATAGAATCACTGCTTAAATTTTTACTGTATCTTTTAGAATTTTGTTTATATTGAGCTGAAGTTGGTGTTGTCCAATTACTGTCACCTGCTATAAAAGCAGGTCACCAACTCTGAGCAGGAGAGAGTGCTGGTGGACATGCTGTGCGGATTTTAACACCCAAAATGTAAATGCTGTAAATAAACTGCACCTGGGTCTGCACTGGAAGCTGCCTCTGTTCAACTTTGTTCCTCTAAACGTCCTCATAAGTGTCACAAGCTCCAAACATTCAGAGCATTGGGTTAATTCAATCTGTATCTCGTAAGTCAGGACCCAATGCTGTCCAAAACCCTGGCTCCTGTTTTGAGCCATTCATATCGCAGGGCCTAGTATCTTTGAATGGCAAAGCATCAGATCAACGCCCCATCCGTATCCTACAAGACACTGTTGGTTCACAGAGCTTGGTTTTGGCCAGTGCTCTCCCGTTTTCAAATCGTTCTTACTGTGGTTACAAAAGTGTTACAGGGAGTTGAGATGTTCTGCTCTGAGATTCTGCTGCAAATGAATAGCCCTTTGGGATAAATAAAGTTTTCTGAATCTGAATGATGTGGTTAGGTAGGTAAGATTTAGAAATACAACTTGAAGGTTAAAAACATATAATGTGAATCACGCTGCATATGGACACACTTTACTGGGAGAAGTATGGTTACTTTTCCTACTTTAGCTGTCATCAGTATGACTTTACCTGTCGTCTACTCATTACTATTCACCTTCTGGGGTTAAAGTTGTCTGTCTTTTGAGGGTATTTTGCATCATAAAAAGTATTGGGTTCTTCTATACCAGATAGTATAAGATTTTGTGATGTTATCCCACGCGAGACGCCTCTGAGGAAGACGGAAGTATCCGTCGAAACATGACAAGGTAATAACATCACAAAACCTTATATTGTCTGGTATATAAGAACCCAATACTTTTAATTCTACTAAAAGGACAAGATGAATCTTCCTAAACTATGTATTTTGCACCTTTTATTGTTCTTGCATCATTGTGTCTGTGTGTTTGGATTCCCACTGGCATTCTCACTGTATGCAACCACATTTAAATCATTTTAAATCAACACAAAATTTACCTTTTTGAATCACCACATTGGAAGGTACCACATCTGAAGAATCTAAAGCAAAAATGCCAGATTTAGAAAACAAAATTGTAAAACAGGGGCGACAGTAGCTCAGTTGGTGGAGCAATGGCCTTTGGGCCTGAAGGTCGTGGGTTTGATCCCGCTACGAGACCTACTCCAACTGCTCCCACTCATGTCTGTTGTCATAGTGTGCTCTGGCAAGACACATAACCCCACGTTGCCCGAAGCCCCTGCTGAAATACCAAGGCTGTGTCACCACTGACTGTCAGCCATCTTCCTGTGGACTCACCAACAGCGAGGGACTGGTGCTATGAGCACCACCCCGCCCTGACCGAGAAATTGAGTAATAAAGGGGTAGAGAATGATTAAATTAATGAATGATTGAATGAATTGTATAACAAAGTGAGTAAAATAAGATAGCGTACAGCAATGCAAACATGGGGAGGTAACATTTTAGATTTATGCTTCTAAGCTCTGGAACAGTCCTCATGAAAATGTGAGACAGGCTTGAGTGACTGGAACTCCTCCTTGGCACCTGGAGCCAGCGTGGCCTTTCTCCAGTTCACACCCAGAAGATCTGGGGGAGTTGGTTTGAATATGCATTTGACCTAACATGCTTTTTAGATATATAAAAGAAAGCAAGATTGAGAGGATGCGTATATGGTAAGATATGATGGCCTGGAGAGAGCAGAGTGGAATATGTTTGCTCTGAGCAGCTTGACAGCCCTCTGTGTGGTGCATGTGCTTAATGAAGAATAGAACACTGCTGTGGCTTCATTAAGACAAATCAGCTGCATTATCTCTCTGTAGGCAGTGCCCATCCATCCTGTGGAGATTACTTTGGAATCCTTATTTACAAAGACATGCTCTACAAAAACAACAACTTTGTAGAAAATGAAACATTTGAACAAAACAAAAGGACTCATATCAGTCCTTTTCAGTTTGATCAGATTGATGTATGTAGCAAGCACTGTTAAAAAACTTTCTTAAGGAAGTACCTTACTATGATCATTCCATAGGAAGCTAAAAGCATTAATGAACATTTCAGTAAAAGTTTTAGCTTTTTAGTTTTCAAATGTAGTCTACAGTGTTCCCAGAGCTCCTGTGCCATTCCATGCTGATGGTTGGCTCTTTTTCATCACCTTTCAGTGAACAGTGAAACTTTGTAAAATGCATGACTGCTAACAAAAAGATTATAGTCAAGGCCCACTCTGCACAACAAAAGGAAGGATCTTCTTTTCTATCCAGATTAAATCGGAAAGGTTTTAGTAAAGAGCAGGATTCGTCATGTTTTGGGCCTGATTTACTTCATAAAGTGCCCTGCCTTCCTTAAACTAATGTCAGTGAGCTCTGGGGTTGTTTGTGAGCTTATGGTTTAGATAGTTCTATTCTATAGTATTTGCTTATTTATGTATTTATATTTAAAGTACATAAATAAGCAAATAGCTGCTAAGAGTAGCTGCTACCAGGTGTAGCAGCTAATGGGGATCTTGGTAAAATAATAAATAATTCAGTACAGTCAATCACAAAGCAATTATTTTAGGTTATGTGTTTTTATTTTTTTATTTGGTGATGAGCTATATTTTTTTTAAATCCTCAATGCATTTTAAAATGTCAATGAAACTTTGGTGATGAGCTATATTTTTTTTAAATCCTCAATGCATTTTAAAATGTCAATGAAACTTTTGAGATATGTTCCTTGTTGCTCTGTAATTGATTCAAATGTAGTAGAATATTGGTTTTATTAATTAATTTGTTTATAAGTAGTCTTGAAGGCCGATTTTTTTCCCCAGTCCACGTGTCATGGTTGATCATATACAGCAGACAGAAGAACATTGTGTCTTCTTTGAGCAAAAAAGTATATAGATGACATTGCTTAACATGAAGACTTAATAACAAGAATATCATATTATTGCAATACAAAATAGGAATGACAAATGGAGCTGGTGGAGACAGGACAAAGCCACAGTCACTGTTCTCTGTGGGACCGTGCCTGAGTCTGTGGCCACATCACGCTCATCTATTAAAGTCTGCTGCTTTGAGCGTTCAATCCGTCAGGAGATGGTGATCGGAGAACACGGGTCAAATGCACTGGGAATGCCCCGCAGATCAAACAGGGACCACAACACAGCCACAGCGGAGGAGGGGGGAGGGCTAATGACCAACTGACACCATATTCAACTATGCTGCACTTTCACATCACCGACCTGGGGGCATCTCACCTTCTCTCGCCCACTATGGTAGAGCAGATACAGTGAAGACTGAAAGACTGATGTATTCTTGTGGGCAAAGGGTTCATCTGCGGGACATCTTAGAAAATATTGAACCCTAGGAGGGCTGCAGCATTAATCGCAATTAAATTAAATCAGAAACTTCTTGTAGACTCGGTTACCAGATCAAAAAGACTGAAATTCTTTAAGAGCCACAATCAACTTTTCAAAGCTTTTAAATGGTGTCCACCTTCCAATACTCTTAGATCGAGGAACTTTCACCCATTCACTCGCACACATTCATATTTAAGTTAGCAAAATTATTGGAGCATTCACCAATGTGAGCTCGGTTCACACCTGTCAACCCAAGCGGCTTTCTTCAGAGCATCACAGATTTAAGTGATTTAAATAAGTGAATTAAAAACTGCAAATATCAAATACACAATCTATCTGACTACAACAGTGGTTCTTAACTTTGTTGGAGGTACTGAACCCTACCAGTTTGATATGTGCGTTCACCGAAACCCTCTTAAATGAAAAATAAATATGACATAGATATGTTTTTTACTGGTGCAGACAATGAGCCGTGCGTGTTCAAAGAACAAAACCAATACAATGCATAAGCTCACAACAAATGAAATAGTTGCAAATCAGTGTGACTTCTGCTGTTGCCTTTGAGAGACCAGTTCCAACATGCGTGGCGTCACTCTCATGTCATTTTCACAGCAAAAGCTGTTCCTTTTCTGTTATTATGTGGTGGTTCGATCCCACCATGACCCATGTCATCTGCTCCCACTGATGACTGCTGTCGTTGTGTCCCTGGGCAAGACACTTAAAGATCAAGACCGTATCTGTGATGAAGGAACAGCCATCTTCCTGTGGACCCACCACCTGCAGGAGGATCAGCAAGGGACTGGTGCAATGTCAATTAGGTGGCAACTCTGATCGTCACCCCCCCTGACCCAGAAAGGGACAATAAAGGGATGAGAATGAATGAATGAACATTTCAGTCAACATAGTGTGTCATATCTGGTGGCGCCAGGCGGCCACTGTGGTAAACAAACCGGCGTGTGCGCCTTATGGATCTGGTGCGCATGGATCCCAAAGCTAAAAAGAAGACTGGAAAAGAACAAGAATGAACATTTGCTTTCAGTCAATGAGGAAGGACTGCTTCATGTTTGCGTTGTAATGAGAAGTTTTATTGCAACACAAGGAACAATGAAGCACAAAACACCGTTCACTGAAGGATTCATTCATCAAAAATTCAGAACACCTATTTTCAGACTTCAAA